ATAACATTTCTAAATTGAAGACAAATAATTTTTTATAACCATTTTTTATTAATTATTTATAATTTTTAGCTCAACGTAATAGTACGTGACAGTTCCATAGAGATGGCAGCATTAATATTGTTTCGAAATGAAAAAAATTAAAAAAAAATTTTTTTCATTAATTTTGAAGACGAATTTAGAAAAACCGTGAGATTTTTCATAAAAAATGAGTGTGATTACATTTTTAACAAATATTTTACATTTCAAATGAATCTGCTTAATTTTGGAAAAAATATCCGTTCCCATTATCACTTGTAACAACTGCACAACAGGTACATTTTTTACAATAAAACACTTTATTCATAAAGTATACACTAAATGTGGACAACCAAGGCAGTCTTTTAAAGCTTAATCCTCATAGAATTGATATTAAAAAGAGTTACTTTGTTAAGTATAAAGGTCTATATTAATTATTTAAAAAATATCAGGTAGAGAAATATTTACTTTTGGCCTCTAAAAACCAATGTGCCTATTTTTTTTACTTGTAAAGCTTGCATATAATTTTTAAACATGTTGCAGTAAGTTCGTACATAAAAACTGAACATTTTTCTCTTTGGAACACCATCTCTATAACTAAATGTTTCTGAGATATTCCATTTTGTAACAACTGCACAGCGTAACAACCGCACCTAGTCTCCCCTAGCATATGATACTCATTTTGAAGTGCAACAAAAATGATACCCCTTCGACTCATTGTGAGTTTCTGGGGAAAAGACTCAAAATGAGTAAAAGCGGTATCATTTTAAGTTTATGATAAAAGTACAATATCATTGTAATAACTGAGAATAATTCATATAAATATGTGATTCGCTGAATGAACGGTACAAAGTTTGATTATGTTGAGTCATTGTACAAAATTTATTAATAATTGATGTTTCTAAATTCTCTTACAAAATTGAATAACATCCAACGAATTCTACTTTTTCTTTTTTGTATTAAATTAAGATAAATCCTCTGCCGCAGCAATTTCTTATCGTTTATTTATCGGCTAATTTATTATCTTTTATTCTTATACGCACGCAACAACAAACTATAACGAATAAAATGATAATGAATTAAAATTCGAAACTGCCTCAACAAACATTCACTCAATATAAATACAATCTTCTAAACATACACGATTACAAATTTAATTAAAAGACTGACACAATAGATATAATGCGCATTTCTCACAATAACTTGAGCCCTTAATCTCTCCTGAGATTTTCTATTCAAAAATGATACTCTAGACAATCTTTAGTCAATGGTCCTCGGGCGTCCCTGAATATTCCTCTCCTCTAGAAGACAGGTTGAAGGTGGCTAATTTCGATGCAGTGATCCACAGGAATTAGGCTTTGTTTTATAAGAGCCTGCACAAATAACAATTATAGATTTATAGTTAAATTATATCAAAACAATTAAATTACTATTATATATTTATGACCGGTCTCCCGGGGTTACCGGTCGGTTCTCTCCTTTCGTGTAGGTCGCCAAAATTCCTCGATTCGTCTTCCCACCAGAAAACTTTCGGGTCAGGGGTGAATTTTAATTAATTGGGCCCCGTGATTTATATTGCTCATTACAACATCCCCCTTTTTGAATTTTCTTTCCCGGGTTGGAAATTCCAAAATGGCCCCAATGTTCTCGTTCTTGTGAAACCTGTGATAAGCATCAATATTCACTATCTTGGTTCATTTTTGATCTATTTATTTATATATCTATATAGTCATTGTGAGTTCCTTCAAATTAATATTTACTTAACAATTCAGTTTATGTACGTCGATGCTTATTTATTACATTCGTTCTCTCTTTCAAGCTACCTCAATCAACAAAATTTGTACAACAATATACGTCGATATTTATTTTCCATTCATTCTTATTTTCCATTTAATTATCAGTATGTTTATCTTTTTACAATTATTTCTTGTGTATTTTTGTCTTTCGTTTTTTAGTCTTATGTTTTCCTTTTTAGTCAAACAAAAAAATCTTTTAGGAAAAATAGCGAAAACCATTTTATATTGATCTAATTATCAAAATATAAATAAATAATTTATTCTTGTCGTAAATAATATTTTCTAAGGTCTTTTCTATTGTAAATACCCTTCAATTCATTCTCATTTTCAATAGATACCAACTCAAATGCATTTATATTTATTTCCTTTTTTATTCTATATGGACAAAAAAAATGTGCTAAAATTTATGAGTTTCCTTATTTTCAGCCTTGGATATGTGAGGGATTTTTATCAAAACTAAGTCACCTGGTTCCAGGTGAATTTTCAAATTTTTTTTCTGATTATTTGCTCGCATTTCGGCTTTTTTTTGTTCTTTTCCTCACATTTTCAAGTTGAATTTTGCGCGGTATTAGAGATTCTTGATCTATTTGTAACATTTCTGCAATTTTATCTTTAGGATTTTTCCTAAAATGAACTGTATATGGAGACATTCCCGTGCTATCATTTATCACTATATTTTGTGACAGATATTCTTTAAATAACATTTAAGTTGCATCAACTACACAATATTTAATCAAATAAACTAAGGGGAGATTCCGCTTTGGACCCAAACCGAATGATGCGACGACGGTGAGACAAAGTGACAGGCTTCTAGAAAATATCATGGACTTACCAGTGATGTTTAACAACGGCAGCAACAATTCGGACAACACACACTAACAATTAAATAATAATAGTTACACCCATATTTAATCAATAGTCGAAATATATTAATAATCAATCTTTACACTCGAAAACTCAACAATTTAGATTTAACGGCAATTAACTATAAATTGACTCGAATATTACTTTTATACAATTCATAACAAACTCTCTCGATAGTAATTGATATGGTAATGACGCCGGCCGGCTTCCTCATGCGACGCTCTTTCCAAAGATCCAGTGGACAAACTCCTAAACCGCTTCACCGATTGGACGCTGGAAACATCGCACAAGACGAAACGAAAGCCTCGGGCCCAATCACGAGATCCCCACAAAAAACCCGCGAATAATCAAATATGAATATTAACCTCAATAACCAAAAAGGAAATTATAACTAAATGCTTCGTTACAATCCCCTCTCCTAGGCCAACAATAATCCCAAAATTGTTGCCGATAAACCCAAATAATAAAAAGAAAAATAACCAAATTAAGAAATGAAATCAAATTATTTATTCGAAAAATAATATTTTAAAGCCTCCAATTAGCAAATAATTACCCAAAACAAAAAGAAAAATAATTATCAAAATTAACTCAAATATTAGTCAAAAGAAAAACTTAAACTAAAACTTCCACTTCACGGGAAACCACGGCGATGGCGATCCTGCCAGAAAGCCGTTCTCGCAGCCAGAACCAATTCCTGCGGAAGACCCGCTAAAGATGCTTCCAATAGCCTCAAATCTTCCATCAATCCTGTAGAAAACGGCACCGGATTCAGTACGACCTCATTGGGCAACAGCCCCCTTTATGCCATTTCTGCTGGACTCCGACTGGTCAAATTTCTCCAGCGACATCAATGATGCCGAACGCTTCATTCTCAAATGGTAAGGCCGTGCACAACGTGGGCAATCTTCCATAGTGACCCCATATCGGCCACAATTCCGGCAGAAAATGTCGATTGGCTCTGGACACATTGCCAATTTGTGAGACATACTCCAGCAATTAAAGCATGCCCTCATAGGAGGATCCAAATCCGGATCCGTTGGAATACGGTCCAATCTACAAAAAATCCGTCCCACGGTCAACACAGGCCGCGCGAGCCTAGCTTCTTCCCTGAATCGGTCCGCTGGACGAGGAACCACCATTACATTCGGCTCCCGTGGTCGGACCCGAGCCTCTGACTCATCACGACCACAAGCCTCATGTTTTTTGGCTCCATCGTTGACCAAATCCGGATCATCCTCTTGGTCCATTACAATCGACTCCAATTCCTCAACAGCATAGCAGCTGTCCAAAAACTCACGGCTCTCCAAAGCACAAGCACCACGATCCACCCCTATTGCGGGGCGAGCTGAACATGATTGCTCCTCCTCCTGCCAGGCGAAAGTAATTCCACGGCCCGCAGGACGAACGCCAACTGGAGGCAAGGACACATCGGACTCCGAGGAACTAGAAACCTCATGGCTTCTCACCACCCGTTCAATGGCACCTCCTGATGCCCGACCAGAGCCTGACGTCCTCTTACCACGCCACATATTACCCATGATGACAATGATCCTTCAAGAATTAAAACTTGGCTCGAACAATCTAAAACATTAAACAAATAAGTAACACATTCCAATTATTGCCGAGAACGTGGAGGTATAAAACGTTTGAGATCGGACACATGAACCTTGGCCACACGACGATTATTTCCCGAACCCAATTCGTAAACCGAAGGAGACAATTGCCTAACAATTTCATAGGGACCTTTAAATTTAGGAGCCAACTTAGCCGAAAACCTATTTGCCGCATTCGACAACTTATGAGTCCTCCATAAAACCTGATCCCCCACATGAAAAGTAGCCTCCCGTTTATTACGGTTATAATAACGACTTTGTTTTTCCCGTTTCTCGTCAATAAACCTCGCAACCAAATCTCTAAGCGCGTCCAACCTACGCAACATATCGCACCAAACCTCTGGATCAATCCTCTGAACCGTAACCTTACCTTTAACTTCTCTCCTCAAACTCTTAACCGGTTGAGGCTGACGGCCATAAGGGTGGAGTCCCATGACTCCGTTGTGCGTTGCGTTCTCGACAGTCATGCGTTATTTCCAAAGCGTTCCATCTCTGGTGTTACCTGACATTCCATCCCTGTTGTGTACAGTTTTGAAAGCATTTGAAAGTTTTGAATTTTGTATTATAGTGCCATGTGCATCGAGGAAATCGAGAAAATCTTACCGAAAATAGGTTCATTTTATTAATATTAAATTTTATTTAATATTAATTAATATATATATATTTATAAAACCAGTGGCGTTTCGCGTTATAATTTTTTTTACTGTAAATGATGTCGTTAGAAAATGTGCAGGTAAGAAAATTTTTGAGGTTATTTTTTGTTTCGTTGAAATTCAAATGAAAGTTATATTATTTCTTTTATAAAATAAAATAAAGTAATTTGACAACATTCTCCATGTTTATATAATGTTATTCATTTATTTTATTATATATATATATTCATTATATTATTATCGGTAAAATAATTAAATTATTTTTGTGTTTTTAATTTTTCTTTATTTTCTATGAAATAAAATATATGTATTTGAAATTTAGAATAATTACCAGTTATAAACTAAACTTAAAATTAAAAATCATTTTCGTAGATGAGTTATTACGAATGCTGGAATTGTGGTTGGCAATTTCAAGATGTTGACAATATTTGTCAACATACTTGTTTTTCTCAATACAATGAGACAAAGCATGTCCTCATAATAAGTACAAATGGAGTTGTGAGCATCAGTACGTATTTATTTTTTTATTTACTTTCTATCAAAATAATTTCTTATAATTTGAAAAATATTATGTTAATATAGAGGAATTGTCAACGAAGGAAAAGAAAAATGCTTCGGAAATTCGTTTAATTCAGGCTTATTACGAAAGGCCAGGTTTATACAATAGAGAGCTTCAACAAACAGTATCTCCAGAAGAGAGAGAACAAATGTGGCACGAAATTGCCGAAGCAGTAGGTTCAGGTAACTTATTTTTTCTAAAACATTTATGTTTCTTAATATATTAATTAATTACTATTTTATGAAATCAACAGACTGCTCTGTTGATGATTCAAAGCGAATATGGAGGAATATGCGGGACCAATTTAAAAAAGCTTACAATAAGCGTGATCCAAAACTGTTCCGTCACTTCAATAAAATGTTATTTTTAACTGAATGTGATAATGATGGGTATGCTGTTTTAAATAATTATTTCTTTTCTCATTTAAAAAACAAAAAATACTTTTCTCATATTTTTACTGCATAGATTTTAAGGATATAATGTTTCTGATAATTTATTTCAAAGAAATGATTACATTGTAATCAATCCACTATTTAATTTTAATTTTGGTGAATTGACTTAAAATTAATTTTAAGTAATCTATAAAGTAATCTTTTATAAATTCCACAATGTAATATTAAACATAATAATAGTAATATATTTAAGAAGAATAAAATTGTTTATGCATGACATACAATTATTTTTCAAGAGACACATTAAATAACTTGGTTTTGCAAGAGCAACCCGCAAATAATCATGAAAATGAGCCTTATCGAAGACCTTTAGGAGATCTCAATAATGACGACGATGAAAACAATAGTAGTGCAGTTACAGAATTAACTGCAAATTCTCTAACGTAAGTGGTTACATATTTAAAATACTAAAACTTAGTAATACATTAACAGACTTCGCACACGATAATTAATTTTAAATAAGTAGCTTTTAAACTAAAAAAAGTAGCTTTCGAAATATCAAACTTGACGACCAAGAAAACTCGTTTTAGGCACTTCACCAAAACTGACAAAAATTTCATTCCATATTTTTTATTTTCCTGACTTTTTCCTAATTTTTATGAAAAATATTTACATACTTCTTTCTTATCCTGCTAATAAATTAAATTCCTGCAAAGAATTTTATTATTCATGAAAGAATTTAAATATTTATAAAAATAATTTCAATAGTAGCTTTTAGTTGCTGAAATCTGAAAAAGTACCCAAATAGTAGCATAACGTAAAAAAAGTAGTAAATAGTAGATTTTTGTAGATGAGTGGGAAACCTGCATTAATAATAATTAATCTTAATTATTTTTGACAGAAGAACACCTTCCTCAAAAGAAAATGCAGGCAAAAGTATACAAGGGAGACCGTCAACGCCGATGCAAAGGAAAGATAAAGGTAGATAATATTGTTAATTTCTTTAATTTTATAAGATAATTAAATGTTTTAATTTTTAGCAGACATAAATAAAAGAGAAGACTTGCAAATGTTGGTACTAGAAAAAATTAAGTCACACACAATTCAAAAACAAGATCCTACAGACATGCTGTTTTCAAATTTCTCTGAAACGTTTAAAAGATTAGATACTGTTCGTCAACTTAGAGTACATAGACGGTTCATTGAAATATTAGAACATGAGTTTACTCAGCAAGAAAATCAAAGTCAGTACATTTCTGACTAAAATAATTAGAAATACGTTTTATTTATTGCAAATTTTAAAATTTTTTATACATGAAAAATTACATTTATTTTCAATGCAATAAAGTTAATTTGTTTTAGAAATATTTTTAATTGCAAGTTGATTAAAAAAAATGTAATATATGTGTATTAAATATTATTTATGTTTTCTTATAGTATTTTGCTACATGTTTTTTAAAACTTTCTGTGATAGTTTTATTTATCAAAAAGTATTAAGAGATCCTAAGATTTCTAAACATTATTGTAAGCATTAATATTAATATTCTTATAAATTATGTTAAATGCAATGTGTTATGAATGAACCAAAAACTTAAGATGTTTTCATAAGTGTATGTTAAATATTGTAATACTTGTAGTTGTAAAGAAATGTTTAACATTTAAAGGTTTCTTTTTAAAATAAGAAACTCAATAAAAATGAAATATATATATTTATTTGTCCTAAATGAATAATACTCTCTGTGATTGTCTTCCATAAAATACAATACAATAAAAATTAAGTTTAGAAATTATTTTGCAATACTTTATCATATTGCCATGGTAATTCTCCTTCAGGTGACATAAAATACTCAGCAAAGTTGTTTCGCACTGTTTGAGCATCTGTATTATGTAGAGGTTGATTTGCATTTTGTCTTGGTATGTTTTGTAATGCTAAAACAATAGTTTACAGTTAAAAATGTCAAAATGTTAAAATGTCAAGCAAAAATATTATTAAAATGATAATTTCAATTATTTATTTTCCAAAAGTTAAATTTTTTTGAAATTACATACCGTTAACAGATTGCCGATCTACCCTTGATAAATGAGTGTACTGACACTTATTTTCTGGATTATTTAATGACTCAGTTATGATCCAGTTATGGAGACATGTAGTCGCTTGAATGATGTTCCTCACTAGCTTCGTTGAACCTATAATATCCTTTCTAAATATCCTCCAACGAGCCGCAAAAATTCCGAAGGCACTTTCGACCATTCGCCTTGCTCGACTTAATCGATAGTTGAAAATTTTTTTTTTAATATTTAATGCTTTACTTCTAGGGTAAGGTCGCATACAATATTTAGTTAGTGTGAATGCTTCGTCTGCGACCAGGACATATGGTAAATGAGGAGTATTCGTCATTATTGCTTCTGGATTAGGGATTTCGAAAGTATTTGTTTCAAATTTTCTGAACATCTCACTTTCTGCAAATACACCTCCATCGCTTCTTCTTCCAGGAGCACCAATATCAACCGCAATAAATCTGTAGTATGCATCACTTATTGCCATTAAATTCATGCTGAACCTTCCCTTGTAGCTATAATATTCTGAACCAGAATTTGGCGGAGCCTAAAAAAATAATAATTACTTTCTTGCAATTAATGTGACAGCAATAACTAATAATTTAGATCCATATATTGTAAATCTTTAAAAAATATATTTGTCTTTACCTGCATAGAAACTAATTTTCCATCGATTGCACCGATGCAATGAGGAAAATTCCATTTTTCTTCGAAGCCTTTTGCATGGGACAACCATCCTGCTCTGGTTAAACGAGGAAAAGCTGTTCTTTTTAATGATATCCAAATTGCTCTGCAGGTTTCTCGTATAATTTTCGATACAGTATTATGACTAACTCGAAATTGATAAGCAATGGATTCCATTGAATCGCCAGAGGCAAGGTAACGAATACAAATATGCAGTCTTGTATGAGCTGGAATTGGTTTCCGAACGACAAATTTCTTTTTAATATGAGGTTGGACTTTTTTAAGTAATTTATAGAACAATTTTTTAGACATGCGCAAATATTTTAAATATTGTTCTTTATCTTGTGTTTCCATTTCGAATATTAGATTATCACTGGCACCTTGTGCTCTTCGTCGTTGATCTCTAAATATTGGTCGAACCCAAAATTTCCTTTCCTTTGTTGGTGACTCCATTTTATCTAGCTCTAAATATAAAATATACACGTGGAGGATATGTTGCTGCGTTTCATAAAATGTTGAAGACAGTTGTGGCATCGAATCGCATAATGTTAGAAGCCAATATAAGTATAAAAGAATATCTATTGCTTTCATTTTAAAAAATTTCCACTTATCTATAATTAAAAATATGTAATAAAGTAGACATATTCTATATATAATATTGTCGTGTTTAAACTTAATTTAAATTAATATCAAAATACAATAAATATAATATAATTTGGTCCTAAGTGACATTTACGTAGCATGCATACTTAAATGAATCTTGTTTTAATTTAAAAATATTTAAAAGTAACATTTATTTTATTAAAACTATCTTTTATTTAGTAGGTAAAATTTATCTACTTACGCTAAAAATCAAAATGTACAATAAGCGGAAAAATGCAACACGTGCGTTCAGTTATTTTGCCACTGTCCCATGATTGCGTAAAAACGTCTAGGTTTCAGAAATATAATTAATGGACGAATAGAATCATAGTTCCCCCCCCAAATTAATATAATAACTACGTTTTATTGGTAGATACAATAAAGTCCAAATTTTACGTGCGTTAGAATGCAATCATGGGACAGTAGCAAATTAATGAAACGTAGGTATTGCGTTTCGCGGGAGTAATATAAAAAACTAAAAAAGATTTATATATATATATATATTTACATAATATGTATAAATATTATATATATGTTTATGTATATATACATAATATATTATACCATATTATATTAAATTATATATTTTATAAATATTCAATATTAATAAACTATTAAGAATAATATTAAATAATAAAACACTAAATAGAATAAAAAATATTTATTTTTTCATACAAGGCAACTTTAAATTATTATTATAACAGTTTAAAATATTAGCAATTTTCGTAAAGTATTAAAATTCCAAGACAATATCAATTACAAATTTTTATATCCTAATAAGATCAATGATTCATCACATCAAAATCATTTTCTACGATTGATTATCTAATTCTTCCATTAGTATTTGTTGAAATAAATTTGCAACATGAACTTGTTTTTGTTTTTTCAATTTTTTAAATATTGGAAGCAAAGAATAAACTGGACATGGAGCAATAATCTTTTCTTCTGAAGTAACTGATTTTAGAAGAGTTTGATAATACTGAGTAGACCATACAGAACCTGTAAGGAAAATTTTTTCGATATTACTACTAGTTACTAAAATTTTAATACAATATAAATTAAATTATCTTAACCACTTTCTTTGTTATAAACATAATTTAAAAACAAATGTAATACAATGAAAGTATTTATTTTAATTTGTCCATTTCACACAAAGTTATTTGATTGCCTATTTTGATTTTAAATTTACAATATTTGTTTTTAATTAAAAACAAGATATGTCTGTTACATCAGAGTTTAGTCTGATACAATTTAATCTACACAATTGTTATCATATTACTGTATGAATAGAAATAATCGCTTTATAGTAACATTAAATCTCAAGAATTTTTTGAAGGCACGGAAACAATAAATTAAAAAAGAAAAAGAACATTAAATCAATTTCTATATTATGAACATAATTTTTATAACAATGAATTTTATAAGATTATAAGCACAATAAGAATTTTTAAGAATAAGATTTTTTTAGTTAAAAACTTCAAATAATTTACTTACTATTTCTTGTAAGTTTCTTCTTTCTTTTTTGTTTTATTTCAACCTTAACGTCGTTATCATCATCAGAACCAGATGAGAAAGTACTCAATGTCCTAAAAAGTTAACAAATATGTTTTAAAAGATTATTTTACAAACAATTTTAAAGATAAAAATATTTATCTAAACTAAACTTTCCTCTATATAAGTTTAGCAAAATTTGAAATCAATTTACAAAATAAACATCTGCAAGTAGTCTTCTGCAAATTTTTTTTTATTTATCTGCAAATATATACTACGAATATTTTAATCTTTCAATATACCTCTATACAAGCTAATTTTTAAAATTTAATAAATCACTTTTTGAATAATAAATAAAAACTAAATATAAACTTTTTTTGAATAATAATTTGTTTGTAAAATTTGATTCGGATTATTGATAGCTTCTTTCTCCTTTAATATTTAACTGCCGAATGATAAATTCACTTTCTATAACTATAATATCACTTTTTGAATATTTAACTTACAAATGTGAAAAATCTAATACTTGAAAAAATACTTGCCTGGTAGGTTTGGACACATTAAGAAATTTCATTACTTCAAATAATTGAAATCCATTCTTATTGTCCCTCTTTTTTTTTGATGCTGCTGAACCACTCGGAATGTATACATTTCGCTCTGATTTTTCCGCCATATATAAAGCTCGAAGTTTTTTCCATCTATCTTTTATAATATTTACTGATGAAACACCTAATGTATTGTGAATTTCATTCCACAAATCATTTAATTTTAACTGAGATCGTTCTTTCACGGGCAAGAGATAATTATACAGAGCAGGCCTTTGCGACACTGCTGTTATTAGTGATTCATCCCATTCTTCGTTCCACTCAAAACTGTTTCCATTAACTCCATTAGTACTAGTAGCCTCTTGACTAACTAGAATATAAATAAGATTATATTAAATAAATTAATTCTTATAAAAAAAAACTATTTTAATTATAATAAACTTACTCATGGTAACAATATGATTATCATCGATTTTAATGTAATGTGTATCTTCATCATAATTTTTGAAGCATAAATGATTCCAAATGTTATGTATATTGTTTATCGATTTTCCACAATATCCACACTTATGCTTCGCCTATAAAATAATTAAAAATTAATAATAAAAAAGTATTAAATATTAATTAATTTTAATTAGAAAATAAAGAAAAATTAAAAACACAAAAATAATTTAATTATTTTACCGATAATAATATAATGAATATATATATATAATAAAATAAATGAATAACATTATATAAACATGGAGAATGTTGTCAAATTACTTTATTTTATTTTATAAAAGAAATAATATAACTTTCATTTGAATTTCAACGAAACAAAAAATAACCTCAAAAATTTTCTTACCTGCACATTTTCTAACGACATCATTTACAGTAAAAAAAATTATAACGCGAAACGCCACTGGTTTTATAAATATATATATATTAATTAATATTAAATAAAATTTAATATTAATAAAATGAACCTATTTTCGGTAAGATTTTCTCGATTTCCTCGATGCACATGGCACTATAATACAAAATTCAAAACTTTCAAATGCTTTCAAAACTGTACACAACAGGGATGGAATGTCAGGTAACACCAGAGATGGAACGCTTTGGAAATAACGCATGACTGTCGAGAACGCAACGCACAACGGAGTCATGGGACTCCACCCTAATGCAAAAAGGCCGGCGAAACCTTTGTCGAAGACTGCACGGCCGTATTGACCGCATGTCGAAACTCATGGACCATAGTCAACAGAAAGTGAGAAGTGTCCCACCTGAACACTACCAATTCCTCAAATGCCTTCGCAATGGATTTTCCATCAGCAGACTTGATTGGTTTCACCTCAATCCAGCGTGTAAATAAATCCTGGAAAACAACCAAATGCTTACACTGATTCTTGCTGGACGGAAACTCCATACAGTCCGCTGCAACTACCGTCCACGGTTGTTCCACAATCCTTTGACCCATTAACCCTTAAGGTCCTTCTTGCGAAACCTTAAACCTCTGACAGTCAGGACACTCGTGAACAAACCTCTGGACATCATGCCAAATGCCTGGCCAGTAATATTCTGCAGCCACCCTAGCATATGTCTTCTCTATTCCCAAATGACCTGCTGCAATTTCAGAATGAGCATCCCTGAGTATCCTACTCCGATGCTCCTCTGGGACAACCAACTTCAAACCCTGTTTCTCGCCCGTGATTGGTAACAATAAAGGATCGTTCCTATGACGATATAACAAATTGATTTCCACCAACCATCCTGGAAAACGTTGAGGAAACTCTTTAACCAATTGTTTCCTCTTGATGTACCACGGGTCATAAATGGTGCTGAAAGCCGACATCTCGTCCGTGTTATCCACGTACATACGCGACAATGCGTCCGGTACGTGATGATTAACACCGCGACGATGAACAATGTCAAAATCCCATTGTTGCATCTCGAGTGCCCAACAACCTAAACGACCAGACGGATCCTTAAGATTCCTGAGCCACCTCAGTGCACTATGATCCGTAATAGCCTTAAACCTATATCCCTCCAGATATGGCCTGAATTTTGTAATGGCCCATAAAAGTGCCAGACACTCACGCTCAGTGACACTATAATTCCTTTCTGCCCCTGTTAAAGCCTTACTTGCGTACACAATTGGGTGTTCGCCATCCTCAGACTCCTAAGTCAACACCGCGCCAATCGCCGAGTAGCTAGCGTCACATTGGACAGTGAACGGTTTACTAAAATCCGGCCGAGCCAAAACTGGGGCCGATACTAACTTTTTCTTTAAAGTTTGGAAAGCCTCCTCATGCTCAGCTGTCCATTCCCAAGCTCTTCCTTTTTGAAGAAGCCTCAAAAGTGGTACCTTCATCTCGATATCATTCTCAGAATCAGGTCTCAAACCATCCGTATCCAAAACATAACCCAAATAGGTTACCCGAGAGCAACCAAATTCGCATTTGTCTGGGTTTACCACCAAACCAGCAGACGCCAATTTTTTTAACACTATCCTCAACCATCTGATATGTTCGTCGTAATCATCGGTGACAATTATGATATCATCGAGATACCCAAAAACGACAGGTTCAAATTCTGGACCAAACAACGAGTCCACAAACCTCTGAAACGTGCAAGGGCGTTTGTTACACCGAAAGGCATTCTCTTAAACTGAAAGAGACCCAAGCCTGGAACCGAGAAAACTGTGTATTTTTTACTTTCCACAGACATCGGTACCTGATGATACGCCATCTTGAGATCAATTTTGGAGATATACCGAGCCTTCCTCAGTTTATC